GCAGTATTACACGTTTGAACTTGACGATTTCAGTTCCGAATTGTGTAACCATTGCTACCCCGTTTGGGTTGTACAAGTACAGACGACTACCTATGGGCGTTTCTCAATCTCCGGATATCGCTCAAGAAATCTTGGAAAAGTTACTCAAAGCTCTTGACGACATCGAAGTTTACATCGATGACATTGGGATCTTCAGTTCCGATTGGCGTTCTCATCTCGACAAGCTCGATCAAGTCCTCAAGATTCTACAAGAAGCTGGATTCACAATCAATCCGTTGAAATGTGAATGGGCCGTACAAGAAACCGATTTTCTGGGACATTGGTTGACTCCTGTCGGGGTTAAGCCTATGGCGAAGAAAGTGCGCGCAATCCTGGACATGAAGGCTCCCACTGGATATTCAAACAACTGCTTCGTTCTTTGGTTTGGTGACTTATTACCGCGATATGTGCCTCGTCGTTCTAACCTTGCACTTTGACCAAGCTGATTGGTACCAAGAAGTTTGAGTGGACCGACGAACAAGAACAACTTTCAAAGCCATGAAAGACTGTGGCGGCAGCAGACACTCTGCTGGCATATCCGGATATACAACGTTCCTTTCGAGACGATACGGACGCTAGTGATTACCAGCTCGGTGGAGCTAATCAAACAAAATGGACGGATTGTGGCTTACTACTCCCGCAAACTCAACTCCGCCCAAAAGAAACTATACTACAATTGAAAAGGAACTGCTCTCCATTGTTGAAATTTTCAAAGAGTTTCGTTCTATGTTACTCGGAGCTCTTATCAATGTGTTTACTGATCTTAAGAACCTTACTCACAATCTTTCCGCTTTTCAAACTCAGCGTGTTATGCGATGGCGATTGCTATTGGAAGAGTTTGGACCCAACTTCCATTACAAGCCGGGCCCCCAGAACGTCCTTTGCGACGCCCTCAGCCGGGTGCCCACTTCTCGCGAAGATCGTGACACTGCCGATTCCGATCCCTCTCCACATCTACCGATGGCTGCTATTCCATTGTGGAGGAGAATCAAAGTTGGCTGAATGTTTGATGCATCCCAGACGATGGTAGGAAGAATTTTCTTGGAGCATCCTACATTCGACGGCGAAAGGAAGAATCCTTTCAATTTCTCGTTCTCGCCGAGTACCAAGCGACAGTCAGTTTTGCAACAGACCGTGGTTGACAACCGGAACGGTTTTTCAAAAAGATGTTGGAAACAGTGAGCTGATATGCTTCGTCAGAATGACGAGGACAAGATTGTCCTAACAAAAGAGTTGCTTCCCAAGTGGTCAGCTTCTATCACAAGTCCATGGACATGTCGAAGGAATGGATCGTTTAGAACAAACGATCAAGACACACTCTACCACAGAGGTATTCGCGACGAAGTCCGAAAACAAATGAGCAGTGCGAAGCATGTGCAAAGAAACAAGCGAGCACGACGTGCTTATGGAGAATCTGCTCCACGTGATGCTACGGCGATGCCCTGGCAAGAAGTCATTGTGACACAATCGGTCCGTGGACGATTGAGTTACGACAACGGACATTGACTTTCAATGCTATGACCATGGTGGATCCTTGCACAAATTTGTTAGAGATTGTGCCTATTATGCGACGAACGTCGGAAGAAGGTGCTCGAGTGGTCGAAGTATACATGGTTTGCTCGGTAGTCCCCGACCTAAGAAAGTGGTCACGGACAATGGTCCTGAGTTCAAACTGGAGTTCATTGCGATGGTTAAAAAGAATGGTGCTGTGCATCGCTACTCGACCCCTCGTAATCCACAAGGTAACTGATGATTGAACGGACTCATCAGGCAATTGGTCAAGTATTGCGTACTATTGTGGTTTCGCGCGATCCCCAAGAGTGTTGCTGATGGGATCAAGGTTATTTCCGAAACCTTGGCGACAGCGATGCATGCTCATCGTTGTTCCGTGCAGAGTACGACGCGTATCTCACTCCTGGTGCTCTGCCTTCAAACGAGATATGTTTCTTGATTTCTATAAACATCTTGGCCGTGCAACGACACCGTCAATCCTTGTTTGACAAACGTTTGCTACGGGCCAATGTAAACGCATTTCCTATGACTAGCAGTCGATGACCTGGTCTACAAGCGTGCTTATCTCGGTCTCAGTGATAATTGAAGCCTACGGCTTCTGGTCCCTATCGTGTTTCCCGCGTTCATACCAACGGCAACGTAACGATTCAACTCAGTGCTCATCAGTTGAGCGCCTGAACATTCGGCGCGTGTTTCCAAAGCATCCAGTACCTCCGGTTGCCACCGGTCGGGTTATTGAGGTTCCCCTGATTCATTTTCTAAATGTTACTGATGCTCGGCGCCTATTGTTGCCTCACAGTGGAGGAGAGTGACATACGCACGTTAGTGACGTGGCGCTTTAACGATAGTTTTAAGTCTAATCTCCAATATTCCGATCGTAGTTCATCACCAGTAAGTGTGTCTGGGTGATCAGGTCCCAGCTGTGGCAAGGCCTTGGCAGCAAGGCAAGATGCCAGCAGAGCCCGTAGGTAGGTGTACTCCTCAGGCTGGACCAGAGCAGGGTGTAACCCATCCAATGCAAAAAATTGTTAGATAGAGGCAAAAAGCAGGCAGAAGATGGGGTCAAATGACACCTGGCAGTTGTGGTTCCCAGGAGGGAGGCACAGTGGCTGCTGGAGTGTTTTGGGCTGTTCGAGGGGTTGTTGAGTCAATAGAGAGGATAAGGGGGCACTGGATTGGGCTGGTGCCAGGGGCAGAGGGGGGATCCTGTTGTGTTGGAGTGTTTTGTAGGAGTTGGTATGTAGCATGGTTGATGGTGGTTGTAGGATAGAGGCGTGCCTGTGTTCAAGGGTGAAACAAAGGCATCCTCCCTGATAGGGTAGGGTGTGATTCGGAAAGGTGTGATCCTCAAGATGGCTGCATGCTCTAGGAGCGTTTGGCTGATCATCTGGGAGTGGTGTTGTGTAGTCTGCAGAGGATGGTGGATGTGGTTGGTTGTGGAAGTGTGGGAGTGGGGAATGTCGGACCTTGGGTTGAGTGAAGGTGTGGTAGACATGGGAGCATGGTGGGTGGTAGTGGTTGTGGAAAGTGTGGATCCTGGAGTGTACTGTAGTGTCGTTGCTTCAACCAAGCAATGAGGTTGCTTGTGAGGTGGCGAGAGATTGATGTAGAGGGGTTTATTCAAGGGCAATGCACTGAGGCACTGGTAATCAAGGTATATATCAAGTTGTTGGGTTGTTGTTGCCACTGGATCAAAGGCTGTGGCCAAGTCTGGTGCAGGTATACCACTACCTGCAGGAGAAGATGGTATCAGAGCCAAAGGCTGTTAGGGATTCTTTCAGGGAAGACTGGAGAAGTCACGCTATAGCCAGTAGAGGCAGTGGTGGGGGGATCAAGGGGTGTTGTTGGTTGATGGGGCTGTGTTACTGTATGACACTGTGTTGTCTCAAAGGCTGGTACTCAATCTGTTGTAGTGACCGATGCAACAGAGAGTCAAGCCAAGATGTGGAGAGGGTACTCGATTCAGGTGGAACTGTGGAAAGTCACTGGAGAGTCACTCAACAATCAATGAGAGAGAGAAAGAGTCAGTTATGTATTAATATCTATGCCACACCACCCTGCAGGTCTGTCTGGGGCTCAATCCTTTGGAGTTCCTTAAGCTCAGTAGGAGGGTCAGGGGCAGGAGCAGAGAGGTGGCTGTTTCAATGAAGGTATTGCACAATCTAGCCAGATACGCTAGAGGGGCAGCTTTTGTGGTTTGTTCTTGTGGGGGTGAGATCCTTTGGAGAGAAGCTGTGTATCTCAGGGAGGGGCTGTCGAATGATGAGAGTGCAGCCAAGCCTGGTGATAAAGTCTGAGGAGGATGACTGGCTGCAGAGGGCTATATGCAGCCTGTGTACTCTTGAACTCAAGTCCTTACAGGAACTCTGTTGTTGTTTGTTGTTCCTCTAGGAGAGGAGTTAGATATCAATGTAGGAGTGGTAACAGTAGCAGGTGTGGATCAGTCAATCAGTCTGTATAGGGATAGGACTGGTTGGATCAGGATCAAGTTCAACAAGGACGTCGGGGGAAACCCAGAGTGGCCAGTGAGAAAGTAAGAAATACAGCTGTGTTTCTGTTCTCGGCGGTCACTGCAGGTATCTCGTGAAGTCTTTCTTGATGGGAGGAGGCTGCGTACGGAGGAAGAGGTACGGAGGAAGAGGTACGGTCGCGGGAGGTACGAAGAAGAGGTACGTTCGCGGGAAGATCGATCGATTCGCGGAGGAGCGAGTCTTGGATTCGATTCGAAAATCGATTCGATTCGCGAGTCGATTCAGAGGATTCGATTCGATTCGAAACCACGTCACCGGTTGCCTTAGAGGTAAGGTTAACCGAGCCTGTTGTTGTTGAGGGAGGAGAAGATCGATCGTTCGAAAAAGAGGATCGACAATGGGATTTCTTGGGCCGTCGGTAGTAAGAGCAATGTCAGTTCACTGCAGGGTATGGAGGGAACTTGCACTGCTGAGTCTACTGCAAGCCGGTGACTTCTTCTTGTGTTCAAATTCTTCCAACTTGGCCGTTGGCGGTCGAGAATAGAAAACCCGCCCGATCTCGTAGGATTTCAATTGGGATGGCTTTCTAATCTGAACCGGGGAAGGCCGCTTTGATAGTCGCTTGATAGGAGAGGTGTGCTTGATAGGAGATACCAGAGGTGTCGATCCTGTCAACCGGAGGGCTTGAATGAGAGATAAAGAGAGGAAAAGGGAGTGTGTTTCCTGTGATGACGTTGAGCGGATTCCTATAGTAAAACAGTACTCTTCAACAAGATAACAGAAAACAGGCTTCCTGAGGTCCTTTCGCTTCGTTTCAATGCTTCTAATGGTGCTAATAGGTAGTGTAATGGTCTGGTATGACCGATTGGTTGTGTTTGTTGCTATCAGTGTTGTTGTTCTTGTAGTGACAGATTCAGAGGGGAAGCTCCTCGATTCGATTCGGCTTCCCGTGAAAAAGTAACCGACATCTACACAGCAATGCTTCTACAACAACTGAAACGTCCAACAGTAGCCCCATCTAACACACCCCAGTTTGAACCAAGAACCACAATCTCCACCGACCATCACATCAGAGGCTGGCGTAAAGCCAAAGAAAAGACAGCAGCTGGTCCATCCAAGCTTCACTTCGGCATGTATAAGGCCCATATCCAACGGCGTCGACTGGCAGAAGTGGATGCCTTTATGCGATCGATAGCATATTCCACTGGATACTCGTATTCTCGATGGAAAAGAGGACTGGACTTTCATCTGCTCAAACGGAAACGAGAGTTTTGGGCCAAGAAACTTCGAACCATTGGCTTGCTTGAGGCCGACTTCAACATGAACAACAAAGTCCTGGGTGCTGATGCAATGCGTGCAGGTGAGAGAGCTAAGGTACTTACCCCCCACAATTATGGTGGCCGGAAAAATCTCAGAGCAGTGGAAGTCAACATGAACCAATACCTTACTTACAACAGCATCTGGGGACGTCGAGGCAGAGCCGTTGTCATGTCCAACGACGCCAAAGGCTGTTACGACTGAATTGCCCATGTGGTCGTGGACTTGGCACTCCGTAGACTTGGCACCCCCAAACCGGCACTGCAATCAATGATAGAGACGATTCAAGAAATGGTACATCATGTCCAGACGGCGTTTGGCGTATCAGAAAGCACTTACGGAGGAACCTGCGCACCAGGAGTGCTACCTCCACAGGGAGTACCACAGGGCAATGGAGCTGGCCCAGCAGGATGGTTCGCCATCAGCACAGCAATGATCAATGCAATGACAGCTATGGGCTTTGGGTACTCTCATCTCACTCTCATTTCCCAACGTGCTATCGAAATCGTATGCTTTGCCTTCGTTGACGATACGGATCTGATCCACTCCAACGATGATCCGACCGTGTCCACAACAGCTCTAATCCATCAATCACAAACTGCTCTTTCCACGTGGCAAGGTCTTTTGCGTGCCACAGGAGGGAACTTGGCTCCAGAAAAGAGCTATTGGTATTTAGTGGAAGTCAAGAGGCTGAATGGGACGTGGCAATACGTGGCACCAGCAGATACTCATCCTCAACTGTTCCTCTCCGGGTCTGCAACAGTTATCCCACAACTCCCGGTTACAAAAGCACAAGAGGCCCTCGGAATTCAGATCAGACCAGACGGAGACATGGCCGACGAGTTCGAATATTTAAGAAGCAAAGCCATCGAATGGAGTGACTCCCTCCGCATCAAAAAGCTTCGTAAGACGGAAGCATGGTACTGTCTCACTAGTACCATTATGAAGACTATTGAATATCCTCTCATGGTCACATGCTTGTCCCGCAAGCAAATCGACGACATCATGCGTCCAATCTTAAGGGCAGCGCTTCCCCTTGCTGGCCTTCAACGGCGTCTCCCCCACACACTGGTTTATGGGACTCTTCAATCTAGAGGATGTAATCTCAAGGACCCCTTTCTTGTTCAGCTGATTCAACACCTCCAAGCTATTCTCCGACATGCTAATCGCAACACTCCATCCAATGCACTGCACCAAGAAAATATGGAAATTGTTCAGTGCCACGTTGGCTCAAGCATCGCGTTCTGGGAACTCCCATACCCACAATACGGTCTCCTTGCACCAAAGGGATGGATGAAATTTACCTGGCAATGCATGTTCGACACCCGTCTGTCTCTGAAAGGCCCCAACATTACCATTCCCTCCAAACGGGTCAATGACTGTCACATCATGGATGCTTTTGTCGCTCAATCCTTCCCCACTTTTTCACGGCAAGCCGAATCGAATCGAGGAGCTTCCCCTCTGAATCTGTCACTACAAGAACCACACTGATAGCAACAAACACAACCAATCGGTCATACCTATACCATTACACTACCTATTAGCACCATTAGAAGCATTGAAACGAAGCGAAAGGACCTCAGGAAGCCTGTTTTCTGTTATCTTGTTGAAGAGTACTGTTTTACTATAGGAATCCGCTCAACGTCATCACAGGAAACACACTCCCCTTTTGCACTACGCTAAAAGCTAGTGTAAAGATCTTTCGAGTGTTTTGAGTTTGAGAGAATGAAAGTTATGAGTGAGAGGATTAGAAAGCTATGAAAACTAATCAACGAGAGAATCCACAACCAAAGGATCGTAGATCTGAACTCCCGCGGGAGACTGTGAGTGTGATAGAGTAGGTTGCGGTAGCAATCCTACTCACTCCACGATCCAAAAACGGAACGCGTGGAAGATTCGTCTAGCATTTCTAGTAGCGTGAAGTACTCCACGCTGGCTAAATTTAGAGCGATGTTTCATCATACACCTAGTATGACTAGAGCGTCATTGAGAACCCTTGCTCAATGACTATTCACAGACCAGTCATGAGTCACTCAAACCTATCTAGGATCGAGTCGCGAATAAGGCTAAGAGCCGTGTATTGCATCGCCCCCTGAAAGGGCACGGAAGGCACGACATCAGTCGGACAAGAGGAACATATGAATTAAAGTGCGGGGCACTCTCGGGATTGGATGTAGACATGTGCGTCGCACGCGATGCCTACAGGGTGATCAGGCCTTGTATGGTGTATATCCTTATGTTCCAAGGTCTGGTAGACTGTGCCGCTACTGGCGTAGATGTCGGAGCCGTAAAGTGCCATTGTATTGACTCGTCTTGTGGTAAGGACTTTTGTGCTTTGGCTGACCTACTAACGGTTTTGATACTGATAATCATTATAGTATCGTTTGACATGGTTTTGATGAGGGAACCGTCCGTGTTCTCCTTATCTGTTTTCTGGATAGTCGTTGGCGACGTTCCTTAATGTATTTTCCGGTTTTCTTTTAAACGGATGTGGTGAGTCTTGTCACGATTGACGAGCGTGAATTTGCGACGAAGTCCATGTTACTCCCGGAGAGTCTTCCGACCTCTGCGCGGGACTCCAGTTCTCTGCCTGACAACCGGTCATGGATTCTGGTAACCCACGTCTGTTTCAGACAGATGGTTACTCCGTCTGCTGTCTTGGGCAGCCCTTGGTGTTCATTTGTCCAATGAATCTACGAAGTTCCTTCCTGTTGGTAGAAGAGCGATATCTGGATCGCATCTATTTCCTTTTTAGTTAAGGGTGGCTTCCTTCTCGAGTAGCAATTGTCTGATACTCCCTTCTTCCTTTCGAGGAAGGCTTGGTAGTGTTGATTTCAATCCCGACTTCTTGAAGTCTTTTGGGAAAGGTCATCTAACTATTCAACGCGATCCGCTAGATCACGTCCGTTAGGATTGAGTTGATACTCAATGTATGCACGGACATTTTCTAAATCATGCATGCGTGTTTTCATCTTCCTTTGGAAGAAGTCGGGACCTTACATAGGCCCATGGCAACCTCTTGTACTCGTGCTTTCCCCTTGGGAGTGCATGGTAAGAGTTGTTCGAATGAGTGACAGCTCGATGTGGTAGTGTCCCGGTTTCGGTCTAGACTAGTAGCGCACTTGAATCCATCTAGGTTCAAGAGCAGTTCCTGTATTTTTGGGATGGATAAAGCTTCCGCTTGATCCGTTTTTTCGGTCCCGAAAATCAGAGTACAGATCCCTCTTTTGGGAATGATAAAGTTTGGTGCCGCCCACTTGGAACGATTCACCTTCTTGAGTCTTCTGTCTCGCAGAGACGTTCAACCTCTTCTTAAGAGTGTTGGTATGGACCCGTGGAGTTGGGTGAGCCCTAGTATAATATGATTTAGCGTCGGGACGAAATTCTACTTCGTAGTCGCCATTCGAACTCTCCAAAGTACCTCGACTGGTCGAAGCACTTGGTTGGAAGGCATAGGCAGTCTTGCTCTTCCTTATTTACGGTTTCGACTCTGGCACATCTGCCTTAACTTGCTTGTTCGTATGTATATCAAGAATCTTTCTTGAGAATTTGCTTGTCGCTGACAGCTGCAAGATCGGGAAATGGAGAAGTCTCCTTTTATCGTTCACCATCTTTCCAGGGAAAAAATGCTGTTCCACTCCATTACATGGTAGTGAAATCAAATTTGATTCTTAGGTCGCAGAGAGTGTCTTGACCTATATCACGTCTTGCCCCCCAAGTTCTTTGTGACTGTAAATCCACTTCGATAATTCTATCATGTGGAACTCAGGAATCACGAGTGTGCTCTCTTCGTCTCTCATTCCTTCATAAGCATCCGTAATGTTTGGACGACCCCATGATTCTTCATGAGTAAATCTTAGCATGAGTTTGAGTAATTAAGTTCCGGATGCTCCTGTATCAGTAAGCAACGAGTTATACGGGTTTTTGTTTCCCTTTCTCTCGTCTGTTAAATCTAACATAGACGATAGTTTCGAGGTCTCTTGTCTTGCGAGTTGATGAGTCGATTGGCCATGGACGAAGTTAACGTATGCAGAACAGATCGTCAGTTCTAGTTAGTAGTTGCTAGCAATTTCTAATTTGCCGTATACTTCGTCTAGTTCAAACAAAGTCTCTTGTTTACTAGTTTGTGAGATATCTTCATCACTTAGGTATCGATGAAATCGCGACAATTCTGCGTTCCCGTTGAATCATCCTGGCCTAATCCTCACACGGAGATCTCTCCATCTCAATGAATTGAAGTCGAATTCGGCAAGCGCCTTGTCAAAAAGCAGCCATCTTCTTGTCCATCATGTGAGTGGATCCAACAGAGAGTCGTCCTAGTTGTCGAGAGTTTGTCTGACTCGCCTTGGCAACATTGGTTGCATTCACTTTCATTCTTGCGGAGATCAGCCTTAGACTCGGCAGCGTTGGAATCCTTTTTCATGAGGACAGGGAGTGCCTTCTTGGTGTAAATGGTAAATTGGCGTCGGCTCGATCTGCCTTTCCAGTCTCCTCTCTTGTGTACGCTGGTTGTTATGTGTCACGAACGGAGGACTGAGCTTGCCTCTCGCTTTTCAGAGTCCT